AAAGAATACAAAATAAAATTGATGCTTTGCGTAAACATACCTGGTAATAATACTGCAAAACCCAACAAAGACCACGAACATAGTGGTGTCCAATTTTATACCTGAATTCAATATTTTCTTTACCAACATCAAATTTTGACTCATAATATCTATCCTAGAATCATAAATATCAGGGTGAGATATTAAACATTACAACATAATAACACATTTACAAAATGGTAAAAATATTATAGCATTACCTTGAAACCATCTTCCCACAATCTAACTTCATCATTAGGATTCTCATCTTCTTCCTCCTCATCTTCTCTCTTTCTCTTTTCTGGTCTTTGATCCCCTGACGACCCCCCCATAGGTGTCATAAGAGCCTGAAGTCCTGCATTAGCATCTGAATTCGCTAGCTGCCTTCCAACGGTACTATCAGTAGCCATTCCTAAACCGAAAAATGTTTGAGTGACTGAAAGACTAGATTGAGACACCAGCTATTGTCTGTTCTATTATCTTACCTTGGCGCCTCATTTGGAATGCTTCCATCCTCGCATTTTGAACAGGAGCAACAGAGGCACCCCTTCCTAATGGCTGAGGTGCAAACTGTCCACTTGGCACCCACTGAGGCTTAAAGTCGCGCATGCGTTTCATTCGCTGATTTTTAGCCTTCATTCTTTGCCTGGATAGAAACGAATGTTTTGTATAAAAAAAAAGAACATTAGACCTAGTGCAATCATCCTCTCATGCATGTTAATTTGTTTCTAATCAAGTTCAATTAACTAACTTGAACGCAATTTCATCTTGTTGGCGTTTCTTGAATATTTCATCTTCTACATCACCTAAATCTGCCATTATTAATTGCACTCGGTCCAAATAAACCTCACCACTGTTTGTAAGCCAACCATTAGTCTTGTAAACAGTTTTCTTGTACAAGTTGACCAATCGATCTATTGCACCTTCCCTAAATATGGCAAAATAATGAGGATTTTAACTTTTATTTCAAAGATGGAACAAAACGGAAAGGGAAAGCAATAAGTACCTGATTTCAAGAGATGGGAGATGTGGCAAGAAATCATTGCCCACAAAGAAACACATAAAAACCCAATCATCAACAGCTCTCTCAAAGTCATATCGGAAAGGCAAGTTGGGCATGGCCAATTCCCTTTCCAGATATTCACGAAGAACGCACAAGCGAACAAATATGAATTCTTGTTCACTTCCATACGAAGGACCTGTGTCAGCTGCACTTGGCTCTGCACCTGTACACTCCTTCATTTCATGACCCACCTGTTAAATAAACACCAAGACCAGGTTACAATATGACTTTCATGTTGATAGATCAATTCTATTTCCACTGTTCCAAGACACTTACTTGTCCACAGATATCACATGGCCTTGGCTTGTTTGGTTTGAATTCTTCCCTGATAATAGTAAAGTTTGGTTCGTGAGTTGCAAGACCCAACATGATTAGATCAGCATCTGCTCCACAAAGGACATGTTGAGTATTTGGATCATGATTGGGTTGAGCTCGTTGCTTCCTAATGTAGTCCATGATTTTGTGCTCACCCTCACCAGGTACATTAGCATCTGATAGAATAACCTAAGGAATAATTTTTTTGAAAGCAGTGATTAAAATTCTCTCAACAACAAGAAACAAATAAGACAATACTTTTAGTTTGATTGGATACCTTAATATTTTTCCAGCCTGGGTCACTATTGAGTCGAGCATGAATATAATAATGCAGACAAGCAGAAAGACGAGCCATGAAAGGTGTACCCGGAGTGATACAATTACTGTCAAAATGATCTCCCTTTGGCTTTTCAGGGGGAAGATAAGCACCCTTTTCAGCCAACTCAGCTCGAATTCTTGCTACCTCGGCTATTTTTTCAGCAGTTTCTTTTGATGCTCTAAATCTTCTTGATCTTTGTTGGTTCATTTTGGCTCTGGGTGCAACACCATCAATAGCCATGTACAAGACCTTCCTTGGTCTGACAATTCTAGAAAAGGATGATGACAAATCAGTGCTAAGAAGGTCAGGTCAAGCTGAAATAATGCTACACAAATGAACAGGCTGTACCTCATTAAGCGATCAATGCATTCAAATATTGCCACCATCATTTCGTCTTCATTTTTAGGGGCAGGTCTATCTTCAGGATGGGTACAAGGGTGAATGATACCATTCATGTCTAAGTACAAATTGTCAAATTCCACACCATTTGGATTTGGTTCTGATGAGTCAACTGTTTTGATATTTCCATCGAAATCTTTTCCTTTCTCTTCTATACAAGGAACAATGACAGAAGGATACTTCCGAGACAGCCACCGGAAAAATGCTGGAACTCCCATTTTAACTGAAAGAAAGAAAACAGTGTTGAAATAGGCCACGAGACAGCGAATAGGTTATGATGCCCTTGGAGAAGCAGACGAACTACATCTAGCATTACGCTATTAGGATGTACGAAGCTCATAGATCACTTCTTTAAGATGTAAGCGGAAACGACACACATTATATATAGTGTTTTATTAAAGTGTTTCATAAAATATGTGAAAACTACGCCTGCGTGAGATTTAACTCGTTCGCTTGTGTGTGAAATAGAGGTTTCGAAACCGGCGCCTCTCTGCTCCGTGGTGGTACAGTATGATAGCTTACCTTATATGTTGCAACTTTGTAGAGGTTTGAGGTTCTATGCGCCTTATGGACCTTAAAATCAAAATTAATTTGAATTCAAGTGTTCAAGAAACTCAAGATATGTTTTCACTTTTGTGAAGAACACCTTGTTGTTGTTGACGCTTAGCGGCGGCGCCTTGTTGTTTCTTTCTTTTTACTGTTATTCTTCTTCTTGTACAAGGAGGCAACTTTTGAGTAAATACAAGTATGTATTTATTCAGCCTATTCCAGTATCTTCACTTAAGATTTAAATATAAAAGCTTTAGAATTTTAGTTAAATGTTGCGCCACGTACGTGAAGTACTTTTGTTCCCATTGAATCTTAACTCTTGATAGTATTTTTAGTTTGTAGCAATGGTATCGTGTTCAGTGAAAAAGCTACGAGTAATTCAAACGCAGCGCACAAACGGAGAAACAGACCGACATCAAAAAAACATAGAAGAGGATTTTCGGCTTTGAATGGATAGGGAATTAAACTTCTGCATGGAATATGAAACATTTTATTCGATATTACGCATTATTACAACTAGATCAACTTACAAAATCACATTCACTCATTCATCTTCAGGTAACGCGAGAGGTAACAATATTTCCATGGTACACAAAAGTGCTGAGATGACGATAATTTGCCATGCATAGCTTGATGGTGTACCTGGCTAAGCCTTGGGTAGCAAAGGAAACGAACAGCAGCGGCGCACCTCTATACCCGCAGCAATTTACCACGTGGTTTAACAAGCCAGTCAGGAGCCCCTACGACTCTCTGAGCAATAAAACATAAAACAATATGAACAAATTTGGGGCATTCCCCGTTTTCAATAGAAGAGATCTTTTCAGCAATCACATTTGAAACATTATTTACAGGCTCTTTATT